CCACTTAACATGGCAAAGTTTGTGCACATTGATTCATTAAAGACTGATATCAGGTCTATAAGACGTGTCTTTGAGACGTTTCTATAAGACGTGTCTAAGGCATGGGTCTTTAGATGACTCTAGATGACTTGATATTTCAGGAATAAAACATCTAGAATAACTCTAAAAGATATATTAAGTGTTGGTGCATTGTCAGGCTGTTATGAAACTGTTTAGGATCTGGAATGAGAGATTATAAAATGAATGATCTAATTATTTTTTTTCTTTCGTATATTCAGACTTCAAGCAGAATGTTCGAGCCGCTCCCATCAGGACAGTAGATGTCTACAACCTGATGTGCTGGACATTAGGTGTGAATCCTTTGCCCAATAATGGATCCTGGTCTCGAGTTGAGCATCTTCTAAATGGCTGTAAAAGCCCATTCCAGTCTGGGACAACCTGGACATGCAGTATTGGTTTGGTGGGGGTGCTGTTGTTAGTATTTTACTAAATGATAACCTGTTTCTCTGATTGGAATGAAGGTTTTTATCTGGATAATAGTTGCAGTGATTTGCTGTGATTGGCAGAGGGTAATGAAACTGGGTCCCAGACTATCAGCGGCAGGTGGACCAGTGGATACTACCTCTTTTTTAATTAAATATTAAATGTTATTTTGTAAAATCCTTTAACACTGCAGAGAAAGGTTTAAAAACATAATTTAAAATGCATTGAAATGTAAACTTGTAATAACTGGTTGTCAATATCTGACTATGTTTCTTAAACTAACATTTCAACATACTTCTGTTGGGTTGATTTCTCTTAGGATAATAAAAATGTGCAGAACCTCATTTTGCTTTGCATTTTTTTTTGGTTTTTCTTTATTCATCACATATTTTTTTATAAAATAAGTAAGAACCTTTTTCTGCATTTCCTCAGACTCAAAGCAATACAAAAAAATGGAAGCTGCAAGTAGCTCATCATTTGATCTAACTTTGGTAAAATGTACTTGATATGAAAAAGGAAAACATCAAACTGGAACAGCCCTGGTCTTACTGGAACTACTGGATTCATAATTATGACCTCCTTACTAAGGCTGTTAGTCTTTAGGAAGGAAAAATTAAATGAAAGAACAGTCCTGCATTTGTTAAATGAAACCCTTTGTTTTGTCTGTTTTGTCTGCTTTCTGCTCTTAAAATGGGAAATTGCTGGTAGAATTCACACCAGGGTAAATGCGGTACTATTAGATTAGAGAGAAAAAAAGAATAAAATCAGAAATGGGCTGAATGAAAATTTA